CCCCCTGGGGTGCGGTGAGTCTCCCTCCTCCCTCCTGCCTCGTAAGTTCCCCCGCCAGGGGAAGTTCGTACACTTAGACACATGCCTGAGGGTGAGTGCACACTCACACTCACCAGATGCAGAGGTCTATAAATGTGCCGGCCTGAGGCTGAAGCGACTGAGAAAAATCCAGCTGTGTTGTATGTTAGTTGGGTGGTTTCGGTCACTAGCGGTAGAGACTCAGTTAAAGTAATCAACTTGGACACACAGTGAACAAGGCTGTCACTTAGCTGTGCTCCTGAGTTCAGGTAGGGCCGCACAGGTTTCCCTCCCCCCTCCTCCTGGAGGGAGAGAAGATGAAACCTCAGACTGTCCGTCAGCTCTGTATAGATCACCCTCCTTTTTATTTTTTTAGATTGATACTCAATGTGATCAAACTAATTCATGTCAGGATTTTTGCTGAGATGAAAACCACCTTGTGTATGACCTGTAGCTCCAACTGTTACCTCATGATTTGATTTGAAGAAGTTATTTGTGTTAATTGATTTGTTTTTATCGTTTTTCAAGCAGGGTTTCTCTGTGTAGCTTCGGAGCCTGTCCTGGCACTCTCTCTGTAGACCAGGCTGGCCTGGAACTCACAGAGATCCTCCTTCCTCTGCCTCCCGAGTGCTGGGATTAAAGGCGTGAGCCACCACCGCCTCTGGCTTGTGTAAATTTTGTAATTGATGAGTAGCATGCATACAGATGAGTGTGCGGACCCTGTGTCTGTAGGCAGATAGCAGCTCCCAGTCAGCATCAGGACCACTCCCTCTGTACCCCACATGGCTCCTGTCCTCCCTGCCATGGGCAGCAGTGTGGCTGACATCTTTATAATCACCCTGTAGGGAAGGGTTCTGTATCTGAGACTCTTTGTCGCTAGACTGTTGAGGCAGCCTCCTGACCCTAGGATTACCGGTTTGTGACACAGCCCAGACTTTTACTGTGGTTTTCTTTTTACGATTATTTATTGTGTGAGTGCACGAGTGCCTTAGTGTGGTTGGGAATGTCAAAAGAGAACCCCCAGGGTTCGGTTCTCTCCTTCCGCAGTGTGGGTCCCAGAGGCTGAATTCAGGTGGTCGGACTTGGCGTCAGGCACCGCTATTCACTAAGCCATGCTACTGGCTTGAGTGTGCGGGAGTGTGTGTGTGTGCCTGTGTGTATGTGTGTGTACACACACACAAGTTTGGAGAGACTGTGCAAAATGGTAGATTTTTATGACATTTTAATATGTGTTATTAACCCTTCTAGCCCTGTTACTCCCCGTCCCCTCTTCCCAACTAACTGCCGTGTTTTTGTGTCTTTGTAAGTTCTAGCTTATTCCCCTTAACATGGTGGTCTGTTATCCTGCAAATGGCGAAATTTCATTCTTTATTGCTAAGTGAAACTCAAACCTCTTTTTGTATATAGATCATGTTTTGTCTAGTCCTCTGTTGATGGTCACTGAGGCTGATGTTATAACTTGGCATTGTGGATAGTTTTGTCATAAACAATTGTGCAGGTGCCTTTGTTCTCTGCTGACTCAGACTCCTGATGTGTATACCCAGAGCCACGTGACAGAGTGTAGCAGATCTAGCGTTAGTTTTTAAAGAGATCCCTCTCTTTTTCCCCTGGATATTTTTGTTTTGTTGCTTTGTTGAGACCTATCATCACATAGCCCAGGCTGGCTTAAACTTGCTCTGTAACTGAGGTGCCCTTGAACGGCTCATCCTCCTGAGTCCTGGGATTACAAGCATGTACCACCACACCTTGTTTATCCTTCTCTTCACTTTATTCTAATGAACTCACAAGTCAAAGCCTTACACGGCTGATTTAAGAAGTCGCCCAGTCCTCACGCTACGTCTCAGTGGCTGTTCTGAGGCACTGGCAAATCACGTAGGGTTTTACACTTACTGCTGTCACTTACTTTATTTTATGTTCTTGGTACTTCAGTACCCAGAATACTGAATTCACTTGTCTGCCATGGGGTGAACAAGACAAACTATGATAGATTTGAGACTAGGCAAAAATAGAAAGATTTGCAACCTACTTTTTTTGTTGTTGTGTTTGGGGTTTTTTTTTTCTTTTTTTGAGACAGGGTTTCTCTGTGGCTTTGGAGGCTGTCTTGGAACTCGCTTGGTAGTCCAGGCTGGTCTCGAACTCACAGAGATCCGCCTGCCTCTGCCTCCCGAGTGCTGGGATTAAAGGCGTGCGCCACCAACGCCCGGCTATTCAGACTATTTTTAGAGCAGCCAAGGGTGCTAGGTGGTGTTCTCATAATATGGCAACTGTGTTTCCTGGCATTTATAGCTGGAGAAAAAAAGCAAAGTAAATCTTTTATTTGGGGATGGTTGTCAGGAGGAAAGACCTGGGTGTATTTGACACTGGTAACGGCAGTGACTTGAGAGTCGGTGCCTCATTTCTTCTTGTGGTTGTGGCTGAGACTCCCCTTGTTTGCTGGCTTCTCCAGCGTCTTCACCCCCCTGGGTTCCCTGGACCTCCCTGGAAGCCTCTGTCCCCATCGTCTTTGGCCGTCCTCCGCTCTGTGGCTCTGGACTGTGGCTGGGGAGGTGGGTCAGTAGCCGCTCCTACACGGCCTCCTAATGAGTTGGTATCTGGGGCAGGAGCGGAGGCAGCACAGACAGCGAGGAGGACGAGGAGGACGAGGAGGAAGAGGATGAGGACGAGGGGGCTGGCCCGGCAGCCTGCGGAAGGACCAGCCCTGCCCCTTTCCCCAGTCCAGGCCCTCAGCCTCCTGGTAAGTGTGTGGTGGCTTGTACTCAGGTACGCGTGCAGCGTCTGCCTGCTTGAAGCTCACCCTCTGTCCATGCTCTCGCCTCCCACAGGCCCAAGTTGGACAGCCACCTTTGAACCAGTGCCTACGGATGCCCCAACAGGACCCTCAGTTTCCAAGGAGACAGACATGTCCTCCACCCAGATCCTGACCAGCCCTCCAGCCCACAGTGCCCCACAGCTCAGGTATGGATGGGCAGGGCAGGCGGCCATGACTCTCATCTGGGAGGCACTCCTGCGTCCTAGTCCTCTCATAGGCTTGGGTGCTGACCATGGCCACACCTTCAAGTTTGTGTCTTACCTTCTAGGTCTCAGGACCCCACACCCCCCTCAGCACCTCAGGAAGTCACAGATAGCAGCAAAGTAGCAGAGCCCTTGGGTGAGCCAGGCCATACCTTTCCCATCAGGGCACTGGGCTCTGCCTCAGGCCCACCTGGGTTGTGAAGACAGCAGTAAGGCCGTGTCTCAGCTTGCTGAGATACGGCCCATCTCTCCTTCCACAGCCCCCTGCCAGGCCTTGGTTAGTGTTGCGGATGTCCAGGCCACTCTGCATGGGATGCGCTCTGCCCCCAGCTCCTTGGACAGGTGACCGTTAGTGTCCTACCTGAGCTGCTTGCGGGAGGTGGGGAAGGGGAAGCCCAGCCTCCCCGCGGAAGTGGGTGCTGGGCTCTTGTCCCTAGTTGTCCTCAGCACCCGGCCGGCTCTACCTTGAGCTCCTCTGCCCCTATCGCTGGCTGTTCCTTTTAGTAATGAAATGTTTTGGACAGTGGCAGGAGTGTGCCTGGCACCACAGGCATGTCCTGGAGGGGGGTGGCCACTGAGAGCTGTCAGGTGGAGGCTGAGGAGGCATGGCTCTCCCTGCCTGCAGCTCTGCAGCCCCACCATGCTCTCAGAGGCTTCCCTGCTGTGAGGAAGCCCTTCCATTGACGGTGGCCTCGGCAGGCAAGCATCTAACAGTAGTCAATGTGGTCTCTCCTACAGTGCAACCAGAGACCCCTCTACCTCTGTCCCAGCCTTTGAGGCCCAGCAGTCCCCCCAGACCGTGGAGGGGGGAAAGAACCCAGAACCTTTGGGGCTTCCCCAAAGCCAGAGGTGAGTTAGGCTGTCCGGGAGGTGTGGGGTGGGCGGGCTGATGGGGTAGGAAGTAACTCCAGTTCTCCTCTCTCCCCTAACAGTGCCCAGGCCCTTGACATGCCCAATGGCTCGACCCCAGCAGGGTCTGTCTCGTCGGGTTCCCAGTGAGTGAGCCGCAGCCTGGTGTCGCGGGCAGGGTGGGGTCGCGGACCCTCCCTTACACGTGTCTCCCTCTGTTTCCAGGTAGCTGCCTGGTGGCAGTGGTGGCCAAATCCTCTTTCTTCCCCATGGAATCCCCCGGTGGGGCAGGATGGGTCCTTTGGTGGCCCTCTCCCCCGTTACCCCATATCCTGCATTCTCTCCTCTGGACTCCAAAGTTTGGAGGCTGGTGCCAGGGAGATGCCCTCACCCACCCCATTTGCACTGAGAAGAGAAACTATGGAGCTTTGTCTCCTAGAATAAAGATAGAGAGTCACATAGAGAGAAAGGAGAGAGAGAGGTATATTATATATTATATATATATATATAGAGAGAGAGAGAGAGAGAGAGAGTGAGTGAGAGACAGAGAGGGAGGAGTCAGAAAGGAAGCCAGGACTATAGCTGGGTCAGCGGCTCTGAAGCACAACCTCCCGTCTGTCGAGCGGGGACCGGCGCTGGGCTTTGAGGCTGCTGGCCCGGGCTCTGGTGCAGATGCTCACATCCAGCCTTTCACTCAGGACCACCTTGGGGTGTAACAGAGGGCATTAGGCCCGGATGGCCATGCATTTGTTCAGACCTTGCACTTTGACCTGGCCGTGGAGAGCAGGGCTTCCCTGGCAACATCCCTAGAGGGCCAGAACCGGAGATTCTGGGTGCCCAGTGCCCTGAGGGTTCCAGCACTGCTGCCAAGTGGCCTTGTCCCAGCTCCTTCCCCCAGGCTGGCGTGAGTGTGCAAGTACGTGTGCAGGGATTGTGTTTCATACTGCAAATACAAATAAAGGAAGACAGCTGAAGAATCCTGGTGTCAGACCTTGAGTTCTGGGAATATGCTCCACATGGCCTAGACAGAACCACGTTTTCTTGGGATAGCACTGGTGAGTGTGGGGTGGTGTGTGTGGGTATCTGTGTGTGTGTCTGTGTGTGTCTGTGCGTGTCTGTGTGTGTATCTGTGTGTGTGTGTGTGTAGTGGAGTGGGGGTGTTTATTATGCTCACCAGGCAGAACGTTAGGAAAACTCCCTTGGCCCTGTTTTGAGATGCAGATCAGGGTAAGAGCCGTGTTGTCAGCTCACAGCCCCTCCCTCTGTCCTCCTTTAGCTGAGGAAGAACTAGAGGTCCCTGGACCTTGTAGCTGGGCTCTCTGCCATTAGGGGATGGGAAACGCTGGGCATGGTGGCACACGCCTTTAGTCTCAGCACTCAGGAGGCAGAGGCAGGCGCATTTACATGAGTTGGAGGCCGGCCTGGTCTACAAAGGGAGTTCTGGTACAGATGGGACTACACAGAGAAATGCTGTCTTAAAAAACCAAAAAGGTGGGACAGGAGGCAGGCAGCTGCCTTGGGAGTAGGCACACATTGAAGTAGCCCTATTAAGGAACCTAGTAGTAAGCTGGGCACTTGGCACCAAGTAGGTACCTATCTTCTGCATGTGAAGGCTATAGAACAGCAACCGTACAGTGGAGAGTGATCATCTTTGTGAGAAATATGACATCAAGCACAGGGCAGGGTTTGTTCAACAGTGTTTGTGGCAGGATTCTTCTCTGGAGTCTTTCCTGCCTGCTGTTCTCTGTGGTTGGTTGGACGGGTAGGTAGCCCTCTGTGGAACCCTGCATTATCCCTTCTGATTGGCTTGTCACAGGACAATGGGCGGTCCACCCAGGCTGGCCTATAAGAGGAGGAGGTGGCCAGGCTTCTATACGCGGGGGAGGGGCTGTGGAGGGTGGAGGGACCCTTGAGACTTGATGGGCACTTTATCAGCAAGTGCCAGAGAAGAACAGGCCTTGGGTGAGCCCTGTTATCGGTCCCAGAGTCCACAGGACACTTGGATTAATGTGTAACCTTAAAAGGCTTCCCCTGTGCCCTCTGAAGCTACTGGTTCCTAAATAGACACCACTCAGCATGGATCCTGGAAAAGAGGGGCTGCTTCTGAAGATACTCTTCTCAGACCAAGTGAGAGCCTATGAGGAGGGCGTGGGTTCAGGCCTGGCAGCGTGGGCAGCCCTAGGGTCTGTGAGTCCCTGTGTGGTGGGTTGGTTGGGATCCCCTGTCCCTTCCAGGACTCTGGGTCCTATAAGGGACTGTGGTCTTGTCCTGAGTGACAAAATTACCAAAGTGGCTACAGATCCTGGTCCCCGAAGTCCAACCTGGGTACACCTTGGGTCCTGGCACGGGGTGGTATGGGGGACAGGTGTTAAAATAGGCCCTCACTATGTATCGTAGACTGGTCTCGAGCCCAGTGTCGTCCTGTCCCATTTCCCGTCGTCCTTGCTGTGACCCCCTACCTGAGGACGGGCTTGAGGGTGGGAGGCTGAGCAGCTTCCTCTCCCGAAGCACCCACAGGTCCGCAGGTGGCTGATCCCCTTCTTCGTCTCCTGCGTCGTCTACTTCGTCCTCTGGATTCCCGAGGACCAGCCCTCCTGGTTCAGTGCTCTGGTGAAGTGCCTGCCTATCCTGTGTCTGGTTGTGTTCCTGTGGGCTGTGACCCCTGGTGGGAGCTACCCCTGGCTCCTCCAGGGAGGTCTAGTGTGTTCTGCTGTGGGAGACGCCTGCCTCATCTGGCCTGGGGCTTTCCTTTATGGTGAGCAGGGACCCTGTGAGGAGGCATCCAGGGCCCTTGTGGTGTCAGCCAGTGCCGGGACACAACTTTGGGTTATAGGGAGATTCCCCTAGAATCCACTGGGCTGAACCAGGCTGATCCTGAGACGCCAGGAGGCAGTGATGCCCGGTGGGCAGCTCACGGTTTCCGAGGGCTTTAGGGTCAGGCTGTGGTTGGAAGGGATGGTGTGGAGAAAAGTGAAACTTGCAGTGTAGCTACCAGGGCCCGCAGATGTTGCTTCTGAGACATTTGTGTAGTCCAGGTTGCTTTGAATGGCCTCAAACTTGGTCCCCCTGCCTTAGCTTTCCCAAGTGCTAGGATTGCAGGAGTATACAGAAATTTCCCTAGCACACCTGACGTTGAGGCATAGTTTCAAGGATGTGTGTGCAAGCGGGGAGCGTGTCCATCCTGGGTACGGGAACAGTGTGTGGGGACCTGGGTTGCCCGCGCCTGGAGTAGAGTGTTTGGTTATACGAGGGCATAGGGTTTCCCAGAACGCCATTTGGAGTTGGTGGATACTTGAACAGAGCAAGCACATGACACGGTATGAATTTTAAGGTCATGCTCATTGCTCTGGGAACTGAGAACAACCAAGGGCGGAGAGAAATTGAAAACCTCAGTAGAATATGATAGTGCCGGGGCGGGAGGAGCAGGTGCTTTGGGGACGCTGTCCCTTTGGGTCTGGTGGTGGTCAAGGCAGCAGTGAGAAGCTCACTGGGTCCCCATCCCTCTCTCCATCAGGCATGGCCGCCTTCTTTGCCACCCACGTGCTCTACGTGTGGGCTTTTGGCCTGTCCCCCCTGCGGCCCGGAGTCCTGGCGTCCGTCATCCCCTGCGCTCTGGTCTACGGTAGCTTCCTCCTGCCCCACCTCGAGTCAGGCATGGTCCTCCCGGTGTCGGCCTATGGGCTCATCCTGTTCTCCATGCTGTGGCGCAGCCTTGCCCGGGGTGGGAGTGCCGCCTGGGGCGGTACGCTCTTCACCATCTCCGATAGTGTGCTGGCCTGGAACGCTTTCATCCAACCCTTGGGTTTTGCCCGCCAAGTGACCATGACCACCTACTATGCAGCCCAGCTCTGCCTCGCCCTGTCAGCCCTCAGGAACCCAGGGCTCAAAACCAACTAATGCAGGACCCAGGCAGCCCAGGGTCCCTGGCCCGAGTACCTGGGCTTTTCACATCGACCCAGCCTGGCAAGCGGATGCCTCCGGTCGTGTGCCTGCAGATACGTGGCCATCTTGAAACATCTGTACACCGTTGGCAGAAATTTGGAATCTACCACTGAGATCAAGCTGCCTTTCCCCGGCTTTCTGGCTGTGGATTCCAGACCCCCAACCCAACAACATACATCCCGTCTTCCCCTCCCCAGGCCTGGCCTCCCCTCCCCACCCGCCCCTTCACGGTTGCTTCAAATCTGCTTCTGGCTGCTTAAGTAAAATGAGGGCTGGAACATCGGTGTCATTACTTGGGAGGAATGTGTAGGGATGACGACAGGTCATAACAGCAAGCAGAGTTTTGTTTTTTAAAGATCATTTGGGCTGGGCAGTGGTGGTGCACGCCTTTAGTTCCAGCACGAGGCCAGCCTGGTCTACACAGGGAAACTCTCGAAAAACAATAACAACAACAACAAAAAACGATTTGAATGTGAATGGTATACACGTGTGCAGATAGGCATACCTGTAGGCTCCCACTGAAGTCAGAAGAGGACGTGAGGACATCTGGTGTCCTCTCGCCGTCTACCTACGTGAGACGGGCTCTGGCTCCCTGAAGCTGTGGCTTGTAGTTTCTTAACTAGGCCAAAACCAACAAGCCCCAGTAATCCTGTCTGCCCTCCTCCCAACTGGGGGTATAGGCTTGTGACCCCCATGATTACACTGCAAGTACTCTTTTTTTTTTTTCCGAGACGGTTTCTCTGTCCTGGAACTCGCTCTGTAGACCAGGCTGGCCTCGAACTCACAGAGATCCCCCTGCCTCTGCCTCCCTAGTGCTGGGATCAAAGGCATGCACCACCATGGTCCACCCGGCTGAGATACACATTCTTTTTTTTTTTTTTTTTTTTTTGGTTTTTCGAGACAGGGTTTCTCTGTATTGTTTTGGAGGCTGTCCTGGAACTCACTCTGTAGACCAGCCTGGCCTCGAACTCAGAGATCCACCTGCCTCTGCCTCCCGAGTGCTGGGATTAAAGGCGTGCGCCACCAAAGCCTGGCTGCCTTTTTTTTTTTTTCCTTGGGAGATACACATTCTTAATGAGTTGTCTCTGTCTCTCCAGTCTCTAAACCTCCCCGCCCCCCCTTTTTTTTTTGAGATACAAGTACTCTGGACTGCTAAGTCATTTGATGCGCCAGCCTTTAAACATGGCTTTTCAGCATAACCCATGCTGGTTTCAGATTCACTGTCCCGCCTCAGCACCTCAAGCAAATGTCCCCGTGGTTCAGATCTGGTGCCTGATGACATCTTTCCCAGACCCCACTCTGTGTGTGTGTGTGTGTGTGTGTGTGTGTGTGTGTGTGTGTGTGTGTGTGTGTGTGTGTGTGTGTGGCCGGCCAGAGGTCAATGTCCAGTGACATTTATAACCCACATAAAAAGTCAGGCATGGTAGAATGTTTATAATCTTCACTGATGGAGACAGGCTGGGTGGTGAGTGAGCCCAGTGCGAATATAAACTCAGTTCCTCGTTTATATAGCAAACACTTTACTATTTACCTGTCCCCTCCCACCCCTTTTGATACTGTCTGGTAGCCCAGGCAGTCTTTGAAGTCATTGTGTAGCTGAAGATGGCCTGGAAATTTTCTGTGCCGCCGCCGCCACCACCACTCGAGTGCTAGAATTCCCCATGCCCGTTTGGGTAATGTTGGGATGGAATGGAGGGCTTTGTGCACTCTGGGTGAGCACCATGGAGCCCCATCCTCAGCAAGACAGCTTTTTAGGGAAGGCAGTCACCATGTCAGGGAAGTGGGCATAGAGGGACCTTGGAGAGGACAGGTAACAATAGCTGGGGTGTGGAGTATGAAGTAAAAGCTTAGGGATGGCCCTCCTCAGCAGTGTGACCTTGGCAAGTCACTCCCTGTTCTGTGTCAGAATACACGATGAGGTCCAGCAGCTGACTCTACTACTTTGTCCATAATGTACTTTTAGTGACCACGGCAGCAGAAGCATGACTCTACACCAATGACACCATCAGGAACTCGGGGAAAGTTACTACTGTCCTTACAGCAGATGGCTTTTTTGTTATTTGTTTTTTGAGACAGGGTTTCTCTGTATTGTTTTGGAGGCTGTCCTGGAACTCGCTCTGTAGACCAGGCTGGCCTCGAACTCAGAGATCCACCTGCCTCTGCCTCCCGAGTGCTGGGATTAGTGCGCCACCACGGCCTGGTTTGCAACAGATCATTTATGACACCAAAGTTGCTGTGGGTGACGAGTAGCTGAAGCAAGCCAGAGGGGCACGAGTTGGGCGCCAGCCTGGCTCTCCTAGTGAGCTCCAGGGCAGCCTGGGATGTTTTGCTAGACCCTGTTTCAAAAGACTGCAGTTGGGCTGGGGAGTGGGTGTGTAGCTCAGTGGCATGCAATCTCCAGCACTGTGTGTTAACTTGGCAGGGCAGTGTAAACATAAACTTGACGCTTGGGAGGTAGCGAAAGTTCAACTCATTCTTTGGCTGTGTAACATATTTAGGGCACCGTAGCATGTTTAACCTCAAGTGGAGATCAAAGGACAACTTCCGGGGTGCTCCTTTTTCCTTCCACTCTGCCTAACTCAGGCTACCAGGCCCGGTAGCAAGTACTTTTTTTTTTTTTTTTTGGTTTTTTTTTTCGAGACAGGGTTTCTCTGTGGCTTTGGAGGCTGTCCTGGAACTCCCTTGGTAGTCCAGGCTGGTCTCAAACTTACAGAGCTCTGCCTGCCTTTGCCTCCCGAGTGCTGGGATTAAAGGCGTGCGCCACCAACGCCCGGCAGCAAGCGCTCTTTTAAAGCCTTTCTTTTTATGAGTATGCATGTGTGGTGTGCGTGCGTGGGTGTAGGCGTGTTCACATATACAGATGTGGGTGCATGAGCATCCTGCATTGTTGAGGCTTGCAAGGGTCTCTGCCAACGCCACGGCCAGCAGAATAATGCGAAACAAAGAAATCCAGTTCAAGTCAGTAGCTGATGGTGGTTCAAACTTCTACTACGATCTGACCCCAGGCAGTTTATTTTAGGCATACTTAAGTGGAGAGCAATTTGAAAAGAAAAAAGTTTCCTGGTGTAACACAAACCCCTCTGTACAAGGAAGTGTGATTACCTTGAAACTCTTCTCAAAGTGCTTGCTATTTCTTCTAGAGATAGGCTGCCAGTATTTAAGGCCTAGAGGAGGATCTGATATGGTCTTGATAGTGTAGAGGTCATCGGGACTATTAGCCACCTCTGAACCTGGTGGGGGAAGCCCCTGGCCATACCAGATAACACAAAGGTCACCTGTACTATTAGCTGCCTCCGGTCTTGTGAGAGTTTGGTGTGGCCTGGTCCTACCTATAGCCCAAGGACACCTAGGCCTTCTGGGCAGAAAACAGGTTACATATCTTTCCCTTGAAAAGACAACCCGGCATGTTTAACATTCTGGTTTCTCTGGTGCTATCTATGAGTACAAAGACCTTTGAGTCCCCACCAGAGGCCCGAGGTCCAACGCATTGAGTGTCTTCCTTGGTCACTACCAACCTTATTTACTGAGGCAGGAGGGATCTCTTGCTGAACTGAGATTGGCTGTTCTGACTCTGGCTAACCAGCTTGTTCCAGATGTAACCTGTCTCTGTCTGCTTCTAGCCTGTTGGGACTACAGTCAAGCTGCCCTAACCACCAGACTCCTTCTTCTCTAGGGATTCAATGGATCTGAACTTCTGCCCAAATTCTGAACCCCCAAATCACCAAGAGATCCATTCCGATGCAAAAGTGAAGAGTAATAATTTAACGAGTTATACAGAGAAACCCTGTCTCGTAAAACCAAAAAAAAAATAATAATTTAATGAGTTAACTGCGTTAACTCAGTTCCTTCATCCGTCCGACACAGTTGGGTGGGGCGAGAAGGAGGGGCCGAGCCCGCAGGGATTTTATTGGGGCAGAGTAAGGGGAGTGTCTAGGGGTACGCAGCAGTCTCAGGATTGGTGCACTTCTGAACTTGGACAACCTGTCCTGAGTTGATTGGTCAACTGGTTGCTCTGGCCAATGCCCCCGCAGGGTGGTTACTATGCTCTGTATGTCACTGCTAACCCAAAGTACATCCAGAGTCCACCAGCTAACTTATGATTGGTTCCTTGCCACGTGGAGGGTATCTGACTTCCTAGTGACTGGGGCAGGTCCAGCAATGTCAGAATGTCGGGACATGTCGGAACATGTGCTGAGGCCTACATCCTGCTGGGTCTTTTCTCCAGCCTGTCATGGCTGCTAAAGCAGGGGACTGGGTGGGGGGTCTGGTCCCTTCAGTCTGAACTCATGCATATGTCGTAGGTGTTTTACCTCCTGAGCCATCTCTCCACCTGTTTTGTGTTTAAAGCCAGATCGGGTGGGGGGTCTGGTCCCTTCAGTCTGAACTCATGCATATGTCGCAAGTGTTTTACCTCCTGAGCCATCTCTCCACCTGTTTTGTGTTTAAAGCCAGATCACACTCTCTAGTCCAGGATGACCTCAGATTCACTGTTTAGTCCGTGTAGGTCAAGCTCGAAGCAATTCTCTGCCTCAGCTTCCTAAGTGCTAGGGTTACAGGTAAGAGCCTGTTAACGGGTTAAAAAGCGAAATTCTGTAACCATTAAACAGTATCCCATTGCTCTTTTTTGTTTGTTTGTTTGTTTTTGTTTTTGTTTTTTCGAGACAGGGTTTCTCTGTATTGTTTTGGAGGCTGTCCTGGAACTCGCTCTGTAGATCAGGCTGGCCTGGAACTCACAGAGATCTGCCTGCCTCTGCCTCCCGAGTGCTGGGATTAAAGGCGTGAGCCACCACCACCTGACTTTTATATTTTTGACAAAATAACTTTTTTTTGTCTTTACTATTTGACAGTTTCATACATGTACATTTTATATCCTTAGCCTTATTCACCCTGGACTTCTGCAGTGCCAGCAGAAGTCGGGAGAGGGCATTGGATTCACCAGAATCGGACTATATACAAGACTGCTCACTCCTACAAGAGAGAGACCTCTTAGCACTTGCAATGAAGACTCTCTCTCTCTCTCTCTCTCTCTCTCTCTCTCTCTCTCTCTCTCTCTCTCTCTCTCTCTCTCTCTCTCTCTCTCTCTCTCTCTTTCTCTCTCTCTCTCTCTTTCTCTCTCCTGGCAATAAAGGCAGCATATGCATTCTCTTAGTACAAACAGCTGGATGTCTTTATTTTCCTGATACCTCCGACTTGTTTGTGGTGCGGGCGCCACAGTTGCTGGGAATTGAACTCAGGACCTCTGGAGCAGCTAGTGCTCTTAACCTCTGAGCCATCTCTC